TTATATATTATCCTCAAAACTAATTTTGTTAAATAGTAGCAGTCTCCATAGCATACGCTTTATTTGTGTTTCAGGTTGGGTTTTGAAGAAACTGACTCAGATGTGGATTTGGTGTGAGTGATATAGTGAAAGAGTGCTCACAGGACGTGCCTGCAAAGGAGTAGCTGAGGCAAGACAGGGAAAGGGAGAAGGGCTCAGCCAATGTGTGATTTCTAGATGAAGTTGAGTCTCAGCTAGATCCCACAGGGAGCGCTGAAGCATCAATTGCATTGTGAAGTGTGCCCTAGCTTGAGTAAAGGTGTTGCTTAACCTGCGAGTCATTGGCTTTGGGTTTGGCTTGCTCAGTATGAAGATAACCTCAAGTTTACTTGGCACGTGTTGCAATGTAATCTTATGAGCTACTGCACTGACCCAATGGTACCACCTCTGAGATAGGTAGTAAGGGCAAGTCCTTATGCGTAAAAAAGCAAAAAACAATTGCTATCAAGTTGACTCATACTCAGATTGATCCCATGTGTGTCAAAGTCAAACTGTGCTCCACCATAGAGTTTCAGTGTTTTTGTTTGTTTGTTTGATTTTTTTTTTTTTAGAGAGAGATGGCAAAAGGAGTAGGTCTTTCGTACAAGGAACCTCTGGGTGAACCTAAACCTCCAGCATTTCAGTTAGTAGCCAAGTGCTTAATCCTTTACATCACCCAGGGACAGCACTTAGAGCACACTGGTCCAACTAAAGGAGCACTGAGAGTGTCTACCACAACTAGTAAATTGACAGTGCAAATCAATTATCAATAGGTTTAATGATTATAGCCAGAAATTGTTGAATGCTCACTCTGTGCCACCACTATGCTAAGCTCATTATAACATGAATGTATTTAATCTTACAACAATGTGGACCTCCAAGGTCACCCTAGCAAGTGTTACATAACAGTGGCTTAGCAAGCATAAGTGAGCTGGCAGCAAGCGAGAGCATAGTTATAATTGGTCTTACAAAGGTCCAACTCACTACCATTGAGTCAATTCTGACTTATAGTGCTCCTATAGGACAGAGTAGAACTTTCCCTTTGGGTTTTCTAGGCTGAAAATCGCAGCAGCCAGCCAATGTTATAATTTCTGTTTTGTCAGATAAAGAAACTGAATTTACCTAGGAAGCTAAAGCCGGGGCAGAGCTGGGACAACTTGATTTTGTAACCATGGTGGCTCTGTTCATGCTGTCCCCTAGGGTAATTATTAGCCAGCCCCCACCCTTGAGGGCTATTGCTAGAATGGAGAAAAATAGCCACATGTCTCTTGTAACACCTATGAGATTTTTTTCTAAGGTGAGTAAATTCTTTTTAAGAATAAACTGTCATCAGAGTAAAAATCATTCTCTGTGTCAAAACGATCTGAAAGAGTAAATTATTTTTAAGAGAAACTTGTCAGCTGAGCAAAAATCACTCTGAGTCAAAACTATCTGAGAGAGTCAGGCTTACCAGGGATGACCAAGTCCATGAATGTAGCACAACCTAATGATAAACAGAACAAAGGACAAGAGAAGGCCACCCTCGATTGTCCACCTACCTCTGGCCTGAAGCTCTCAGAGACTTTTCAAAGGGTGAGGGAGGGGCACACTAAATTTTAAAAGCTGTCCTTAAAGAGTAGGTAATAGGGAGGCCTGGTGGCATAGTGGGTTATGAGTTGAACTACTAACCACAAGGTCAGCAGTTTGAGCACACCAGCTGCTCTACAGGAGAAAAATGAGGCTGTCTGCTCTCATAAAGATTCATAGCCTCAGGAAGGCACAGGGACAGTTAGTTCTATTCTGTCCTATGGGGTCGATATGAGTCGGAATTGATTTGCTTGGAGTAAGTGAAGCTTTTGTAAGGTTGATTGTAATTACAGTCTTCTTTGCAGCTCACTCACTCCAGCTTGCTAAGCCACTGTTATATAATACTAGTTAGGGTGCCCTTGGAGGCCCAGAGCCCTGGCACCGTGCCACCTTTGGTCACCAGATCTATTAAGCTCCGTTTTTCTCTCCTTTCAGAGAGACAGCTATTTGGAGGATACACAGTTTTATCTGTATATATATTAGCCTTTGGTGTTATTTTTATTTTTAACAAGAGTATCAATGTTTAAAAAATAAACTATTTTCTTGAAAAATGTCTTGGATATATTGAAGTGTTTCATCTATGATTTAAAAAAAGATTTTTTAAAGAGGCCTTTTATTCTTGATAGCTCTGCTGTATATGCCACACTTTGTCTCCACTTCTTTATAAGGAATAAGGGAAATGACAAGAGGAGAAGAATAGAAGGTGAAAGGAAAGGAGGCTATAATTGATTATTGCTAAATGTTAATGAGGCAGAAACACACATTCTGAACCAAGTTTTATTTATTGTATTTCTGTGTTTTCTGGGATTTGGTTATTAAATTGTTTCTTCCTGAATGAAATGATGTTTAATTGTCCTGAGAATTTCATCAATAACTAGTAAGTATTTCCTAGAATCAATATAAATTTTGCAGTATATAAAAAAAATCAACCACTTTTCGTGACAGGACTATGAATGCAAAAATATAATTTCTGATTTTCTTAAAATTATTAACAGCATTTCATGACCACCTGAATTCTAGACTGTCTAGATTGTGTGACAATTAGTTCCTTTTTTTAAAGTCCCTTAACTTGTGTTACTTTGTTATGGAGCCAAGTTCACTGCTACCCAGTCAACTCTGACTCCGCACGACCCTCTAGCACACAGTAAAACTACCTCTGTGGGTTTCCGAGACTGTAACTCTTTACAGGAGCAGAAAGCTTTGTTTTTCTCCTGAGGAGAGACTGTTTGTGAGCTGCTGATCTTGTGGTTAGCAGTCTAGGAAGCAAATATATAGCTATAGAAAAAGTGCGATCATTTTAATCAAAACTTTTGCTTCTTCAGGCTTGGATGAATATCTTATTTTAATGGAAAGAAATAGCCTAGGCTCCTAATATTAATAATCATCAATAAAAAAGATTTCAATGTCCTATGAATTCTAAGGAACCTAATTTCTTGAGGCACCCTGAAGATTTTTGCAACATATCAAGATAATGCATGACAAGTTTTCTCCTGCAGTAAAATAAATATTGTGAATGAAGCACTGTGTGGTCCTGCCTCCTACTCACAAACCATGTCTCTCTATCCGCTTTGTCAATCTCCTGTGTTTAAACTCTTCCTTTGTGTTTTTCTCCCTGATCATTTCCTTTATAAAGTATGTTGTCCTATTTCAAAGACTGGTCTCTGGATAACATGATCACAGTTGGTGCTATGAAATCTCCCCATCTCTGCTTCTAAGGAGCTCTGTGCTGTGAGCAAGACACACCGTTGGTGGGGACTCAGGAGGAAAATGCTTCTTTTGGTTCCTTTCTTCAGGGGTGATATTCAATAACCGAATCTATGAGGGGCCTTCAAAAAGTTTATGGAAATGGAGCTAAAATAGAATGGATTTTTCCATGACATTTTTTAAAAAACTTTTTATTGTGAATTGGTTGAAAGTTTATAGTGCAGATTATCACGTCTACATTCAATAATTCATACACATTTTGTTTCAACTCATTCATTGCAATCCCTTATCCCACTTCTTCCCTGCGTTTCATGTTTCCATCCCTCCTTCTCTCTTAAGCCTTCTGAATTGTCCTCTTGAGTAAATGCTGCATTTTTAACGTAAACGGTTGGTTATACTAAGCTTTGCATACCTCATGAATGCTTTTATGTCCCTTACAGCCCTATTGAACCATGAAGCATGATCAGTGCCACACCTAAAGGCTGACTAAGGACTGTAGTCTTTGAGGTTCCACCAGTCTCCATTCAATCAGTAAGCCTCATCTCTTCTATGATTTTCAATTTTGTTCCACAGTATTTTCCCCCATTCTATTCAGCACCTTCTAATGTGATCCCTTTCAGAGCAGGTGGTAGCTGTAACTGAACACCAACTAGTTCTCCAAGTTGCGGGGTTGTGCTCCACAAACTTTTTGAAGCCTTCTTTTATTTAATTACCAGCACAGTACAGACAGCAACAAATTAGAACGGATATTAAAAAGCAATCAGAATGATGATGGGGTAATTCAGAACAGATGATGTAACCAAACAGAATGGGTGTTACAACCAATTAGAATGATGTTCTGATCATTTACAGCAGATAATGTAAATAATTATAATGGATGACAGCTGAAACCATTGGTCAAGTCATGCAAAGGAAACCAGCTACAGATCCGCCCTCTCTCCAACTGATGTGCAATCCATTGCACCTTTATTTCTTAATTTTCCTCATGCAAAAATGGAAACCTATTTCAAGACATTCAAGTCATTTCTGAAACACAACAAAAACTTTTCACTTTCCACATCTCCCTCTTCTCTCAACTACATGAAGGCAAATCCCCGGTAAAATTGATCTGATAAAGGCATTCTAAATAATTAATAGCTAGCATTTATTGAGCACTTATAGCCAGGCAGTGCATTATGTCAAATCTTTCTTAATCATAATAACACTAGCATGAGGTGGGTCTATTTGTTTTACCTATAAGGAAGCTGAGACATAGTGAAGCCCAGGGGTGTGCTAAAGTCACATACAGCTAACATATGTAAGAGCACATACTCAAACTTGAGATATCTTTCCTCTCAATTACTAGCTATGCTCTTTTTTAAAAATCATTTTATTGGGGGCTTGTACAATTCGTATCACAATCCATACATCCATCCATTGTGTCCAGCACATTTGTACATTTGTTGCCATCACCATGCTCAAAACAAACTAGCTATACTCTTATTAGCAGATGAGTATTCACATCAACATCTTATTAGCCCAATTCCATGGTCCCATCTGGCTAAATGGTAAGGTGCCAAAGATGTTTTCTAATACTTTAGCTATTATTGTGAGTTTAGTAAATCATTATCCACTTTCACCAGCCCAGTCACAGTTGTCATATATGTGATCTTAATTGCTTCAAACAAGCAGAAAGCAGTTAAGGAGGACAGAAAATATTTTTTAAATATTACCTTATTCGCTTATCCTCCACTTTTTTCAAATATTCATCTCTCTTTAGGACTCCCAGGATCATTTCCTTTTCATGATCTAATAAAAATGACAGATTGATGAACTCCGAGTTCTTGGACATGGTATTTTAGCAGCGGCTATGAATAGCAGTGATTAAAAGCTCCAAAATGTGAATAAATATTCACAATTTTTTCAACTACCACTGATCAATTCCAGGTGATTCAATATCTCTCTGCTGAATGATCCTTAGAAGCGGTCTGCAGAATTGCCAATAGATACTTTTTCAAATTGCAGGTGCCACTGGGACTACATTCCAAGAAAATCATTATAGCTTTAACTGAAAAAGATCTCCAAAGCCTTTGTGGTGGTGCACAGATGGCAGCTGAGTTCCAATGATGCTCAACTTCAGTCCTTCAGAAAGCTACAGTGCCAGACTCAGATCTGCTGAGCCAGAACTCGGACGACACTAGAAGGGCAGAGAAAACAAAGGAGAGAAAAATTAATTCAGTCATTTTTCCCAGGTCACCAGTAAAAGTACCTACTTTTTGCAAGCGTGATATATCTAGCACAGCAATACCCAAACGTTATCAATCAGTAAACATGCCTTTATTAAATACTTACTGTGTGCCTGCTGCCATGTAACATTAGTTCTGAGTCGATCCCAGGTTCTCTGTGCAAATTTAGTTTCTTCCACTATAGTTAGCTTCCTCTGTCAGTTATGTTCCATCACCGTTCTTGCAGCTGATTTTTAGATAAAAGCAGGGCACTTCAGGACCCTAAATTCACAACAGCTCAAGGCCCTTAAATAGCTCCCTTCTTCCCCAGACCTAGTACCACAGCATGAAAAGCACTGCTGGTGAAGTACAAACTGGTGCTACATGGCGCTGCATGTATCTCACAAACATAGTGCTGAATGAAAATTTAAGTTACAGAAGAATTCATGCAGCATGATTAAAAGATATATTAAAAGGTATACTTTGTAGTGATGTTATATCTTATTTAAGTATGTATCATATATACATATGCATGTGAAAGTTAGACAACGAGCAAAGAAGCCCACAGAAGAATTGATGCCTTTGGAGGTATAGTGTTGGTGAAGAATATTGAAAGTATCATCGACTGCCAGAAGAACAAACAAATCTATCTGGGAAGAAATACAGTAACCATGCCCCTTAGAAGTGAAGATGGTGGCACTTCATCTCACATTCCTTGAACATGTCATCAGAAAGGATCAGTCCCTGGAGAATGACCTCGTGCTCAGTCTAGTAGAAGGTAACAGATGATTTTTTAAAAAGACCATAGACCATAGAAGAGTAGATTGCAACAGAGGTTGTAATAATGAGCTCAAACAAAGTATTACGAGGATGGTGCAGGAGAGGGCAGTGTTTCATTATGCTGTAAATATGGTCACTATGAGTTCGAACCAACTGGACAGTATCTAACAACAACAAACACATATATAGGAAAATGCTAGGGCATTTACCACTATGAATACCACTGTGGCACAGGAAGGGATGCAATATGAGAAAGTACGGGGACTTCAACTATATTGGGTAATGTTTTATTCTCAATAGAGGTACATATATCTCAAAAGGTGCACAGTTTTAAAAATTATTTTAAGTATGCAAAATAGATATTTCAAGGTTATGCGCACCAGACCCTCCTTCTTATCCTAACTCTTGTCCTGATACCTAGACTAACTCTGTTCATCTCCTTCAGATGTCAGGTGATCTGTCTGGTGTAGTGATTTGGCTGTATCCACGACAAAGGTCCTCAACTTTACCTCAGCTCTGTGTTCTACAATCTACATGCACGTTACCCTTGGTTTGCTGGCCTCTAGTCAGGTTTCCGGCCATAACTAAATATATACTAAAATATTGCTTTGAGACCTCTCACTAGTCATACGGCCAGGCTGCCCTCCAATGCTCAGGAAATCTGAAAGGATGGGATCTTATTCAGAGATTCCCCAAATTTTCAAAGCCCCCTTGTGTTCATTCTATAAATTATTTACCAAGCCAGAACTATGCTACACTACTCAGACATAAACTGCTCAGGTCATTGTAAATGGTTTGGATTTATGCTAGATCTGTCTTCCATCTCCGAAGCCATAGATACAGCAAGGATCAGAGGAACTAAAGGTTGAGATACTTAGGAAACCACAGAGTTTGAGAATATACACAGTAAAACATATCTCATTCCCATAGTTTGTACATGCACAATTCAGTGGCATTGATTATAATTATGTTGTGCAACCATTCTCATCTTCCTTTTATGATTTGTTCCTCCCCATTAACATAAACTGACTAGCCTCTAAAACTCCTATCTAATATTTTGAATTGATGTTGCCAATTTGTTCTTAGACAGATAAATCTTAAATGAGCATAATGCTCAAGGCAGTCATATTTTACTAATTAAGCTAAACTACTGTGTAGCTTTAAACAAATGTCAGGGAACATTTTGATTTATAGTTTATTGTTTATCTCAGGGAAATAGTTTCAGGGGTTTACCCAACCTCTATGTTTCCAGAAAGTCTGGATTGCTTGCAAGTGAAATTTTACATTTAAAAAACTGATTGGCTTGGAAACAATAGTGCAATGGACTAATACACTCAACATTTGGAGGTGGGGTGGGTGGGTGGGGACAGCCAACTCAGAATCCTATGCCCAGCAAAACTATCCCTCAAATATGAGGGAGAAATGAAATCATTCTGAGATAACAAAAAACAAAAAGAATTTGTAAAACAAGACCACATTTATAAAAAATATTCAAGGGAGTTATTTAGACACAGAATCCATAACAATAATCTAGTTATCAGAAAAGTCATTATTATGACAAAATTTTACTACTCAAATAATATGCAAATGGCACCAGAATTATATGAAATAAAATAATTTCAGATAACCTTTCCCCAATGAGGAAAACACACACACACACATGAAACAGTGTAGATAATTAATAATTGAATGGGGAAGACATTGAGTCATTCACAAAAGAAAACAACCTTTTGTATTTAAATAAAAACCACAAAAACAAACAACATTCAAAGATAAAGTTAAAATCTCAACAAAACAAAAAAGAGGAAAATCTTATAAGCAAGTTAAGAAATAAGATAAAAACCAAAAAGCAATGAGAGAATAAAAACAGACAACCTATAAACAAAAGGAATACAACACAAAAAATTATTATGAGATTTAAAATAAGTAGCATCATAAAAAATATAATAAATTGACACCAAAAATCATACTTATAAATGACAGCATTGAACGTTAATGGATTGAATTCACTAGTTAACATACAAGGACTAACTGAATGGATAAGCAAACATGAACCTTTAATGTGCTGCTTACAAGAAACACACCTTAGATATAAGGACAAACAGAATAAAAATCAAATGATATAAAAATATATATCAAGCTAATGGATCTCAAAGCAGGAGTAGCAATATTAATCTCTGACAAACTAAACATTAATGTAAAAGACAATGAGATACAATATAATCATGAAACCTTTGACTGACCATAAAAACAGAACTATAATTATATGCACTAAATGAAAAACCTTCAAAATGATTAATCAAATTCTTACAGAAATTATGAAATAAATAGTCCACAATACTATATTACTAGAAGACTTCAACACATCACTATTGAGCAAAGATCAACCAACTAGAAAGAAAGTTAAAAAAGATACAGAAGAACTAAACAATGAATTCAACATTATCTCACACACATATAGAACATTTCACTTCCAAAAATGCATTTCATTCAGCCAGGGTGCAGCATAGCAGCAACGGAACACACAACATCCCTCTAGTTCTTTAATGCTTCTTCCCACCTCCCCACTATGATAGCCCCAGTTCTACCTTACAAATCTGGTTGGACTGGAGCATGTACACTGGTACAGATAAGAGCTCTCAACACCTGGAATCCAGGACAGATGAACACCTCAGGAACAACGATGGGAGTAGCAATACCATGAGGGTATGGGGGAATGGCGGGGAGAAAGAGAAGAAAAAGGAAACTGTCTACAAGGATCAACATATAACCCACCCCCCCAGGGAGATGAACAATAGAAACATGGGTGAAGGGAGACAATGGGTGGTGTAAGACATGAAAATAATAATTTATAATTTATCAGGGTTCCATGAGGATGAGGGAGGGAGGGAAAAAAGAGGAGCTAATACCAAGAGCTCAAGCAGAAAGAAAACGTTTTGAAAATGATGATGGCAACATATGTACAAATGAGTTTGATACAATTGATGTATGAATTGTTATAAGAGCTGTAAGATCCCCAATAAAATGATTTATTAATATAAAAAAAGAATTCATTTCTGGGGGAAAAAGTATATTTCACACTTTTGTCTAGTGCTCATGGCTTCCACTCCAAAATAGGTCACATTTTAGCTCATAACATAATAAATTAGAAAACATTGAACTACTAAAAACCATTTTCCAGACCACAATGTCGTAAAATTAGAAATCAGCCATAAGGACCAGTCAACTACAAAAAAGTGAATATAGAAAAATTGGACAACATTTTGGTTTAAAACTACTGGGAAAATATAAGTAATAAAGCATACAATCCAAAGATTCGTCAACACAAATAAGAACAAAATTACAACATATCAAAATCTCTGGGACATGGCAAAAAGAGTAGTGAGAGGGAAATTTATACCAATAACTACACACACCAAAAGGCAAAAATAATTAAAATAAAACATAACCAACAACAATGAGGAAAAGACCAGCAAAACAAACCCTCAGACACAAGGAAATAAGTAATAATAATGAAGTTTAGGGCAGAAATAAATGAATCATAAAATTAAAAATATATAGAAAATAATCAACAAGACAAGAAGTTGGTTCTTGGAAAACATACAGGATTGCTCTTTATTACCACTCTTATTTAATATAGTCATGGAAATGAAACTCTTTTTAATAGGATATGGTATAATTCTATATATAGAAAAAGCCCAAAGATGCAATTGAAAAATTACTGAAACTAATTGAAAAAATTGGCAGTGCAGCAGGCTGTAAGATCACTATACAGAAATCAGTTGGATTCTTGTATGTTGAAGAAGATGACACCAAAATGATATTAAAAGAACAATACCATTTACAATAACTGTTGTAAAAATAAATATTTAGGATAAACGTTACAAGAGAAACAAAAACTTATACAAGGAAAACTACAAAACACTCCTACAAGAAACAAAAGAAACTTACATAAATGTAACAATCTACTATGCTCCTGGAAAGGGTAGATGAAATATAGTTAAAATATCACTACTAACATAAACCACTTCACAAATTTAACAGAATTCTGATCAAAATCCCAGCACAATCTTTAAAGAAATGGGAAAATGAATCCCCAACTTTATATGGAAAATAAAAAAACCAAGATAAATAAAACACTATTAAAAAACAAAATTGGAGGTTTTTCATGCCAAGACTTTAAAACTTATTA